ACCAAGTTAAAAGAGCGGTTAGCTCATGGTGATAAGGGTTTTAATCAGCTAGACGAGGCTTGTAAAGAGCCTGATATTGCGTATTCTAGAAGTAACACTATTGCTGATCATCATATTGCTCATAATATATTAGGAGAAAAAGCCTGGCAGAGAGTTAAAGCAAAAGATTCAAGTTTTGGTGAACGAGCTAACGCCTGGTTGGTAACAAACGCAATTAAAGCAAAAGTTAAAACTGGAATGGGTTGTAGAAATGGGATAAAAAAGAAGAAACAAGCTTTAAGAAAATTAATCCATGAAGCTAAAATTGCTATTAAAGGATATAAACCTGAAAAAGAAAAAGATGCAATAAAAATTGCACTTAAAGTAGCTAAAAATATTGGTAAAAAAAAGAAATCGATAAAATCCTACCTATAATTCCAGTTCCTAAAATCGGAGGTATTTTACCATTAATTCCGATATTTGCGGGTCTTTCAGCTGTTGGAACTCTTACAGGAGGTGCTGCTGGTATAGCTAAAGCTGTCAACGATGCTAAAAATGCAAAGAAGATGTTAAATGAAAGTGAACGTCACAATAGGACTATGGAAGCTATTGCTATTAGAGGAAAAGGTCTACAAACCATATAAAAAAGGGTTTGAATTATATTTAGCTCATAAAAACCACTAAATTTGCTACCCAAAAGAGCACTGACAAATATTGAGATAAACGATTTTGGTCGAAAGTATTTACAAAATTTCCGTGGCGTTTTTGTGAGAGATAATCTCCCTAAAACTAAACCATGGAAACGTGAATGTGGTATTATAAATTTAGATGATTCGACAGGCCGAGGCACACATTGAATAGCATATTATAAGAATTTAAATAATATTCAATATTTCGATAGTTTTGGAAACTTACAAGCAGCAATTGAAGTTGTTAAATATTTGAGTGATAAAATTTCATATAATTATAAGAAGTACCAAAAATTTGATACATACAATTGTGGACATTTATGTTTACGCTTTTTATCTAATAAAAAATTTTATGAGTAAAATTAATTTGTTGTTGTTATTATTTTTGTATTTATTGCTACAAAATTTCAAGTTCAAGAAAAAACATGATTAGAAATGAAAAGCAAAAGTAGGTCAAAATTTTTCATATGTTGAGATTTATAATGACCACAAAATTGAGATATCAGGTTCAAGGTTTTTTTTTTTCGCTTTGAATTTTAGAATTTTATATGAATATCAATCAACCAGTCAAATTAATTATGATAGTTGAGTTGATATAAAGGATGATGCGTGAATGGATTAGTTTCAGTAATTCATAACCTATCATGGCTTTAACATTAACTTTAAATGCTAACAGTTCCATCCCAACAGCAGAATATTTCCCACCTATAGATTTACAGGGAGACTATGTTTGTGCTTTAGTTGATTTCCAGACATATAATTCAATACCGAATATTGATAATGATAACAATAAATTCATTATCGGTAGTAGAACCCTCAATATTCCGATTGGTTCTTATGAAGTTGAAGATAGAGAAGAGTTTCTTAAAAGAGAGTTGCAAATTAATGACACTAAGGCAGATAAGCATAAAATATGTTAACAGAGCTACGAGGAGAAATTGTGAAGACTATAAACAAAAGAGAAGCAAAAAAATTAGTAAGAAGAAAAAAGAGGGAGGCTCTTAATGCTAAAGTCCTTGAATTAGAACAAAACTCTAAAAGTCATATAAGAAATTTTTACAGAGGTATTAAAAACCAAACTACTCCTTACCAGCCCCGATTGGGCATTTGTAGAAACAGTTCAAATGAAATAATAATCGAGGAAGAAAAGATTTTAGATAGGTGGGAGGAGTATTTCACTGAGTTGCTTAAAAAGTCCGATTATGAAAATGAATTGAACGAAAATTTTGCGCCAATAAGTAGCGCCGAAAACAGAGTCGAGGAACCTAGTATTGATGAGACAAAAGATGCAATCCATAAATTGAAAAACAACAAAGCTAGTGGCGAAGATTCAATAACAGCGGAGTTGATCAAGTACGGTGGAGATGCAGTATTACAGAAAATACATGAATTGATAATTTTAATATGGAAGAATGAAGATATACCAGATTCCTGGAATAGTACGTTAATATTTCCTGTGCATAAGAAAGGAGATAAAAAAGAGTGTAGAAACTATTGTGGAATATTTCTCTTAAATACAGCGTATAAAGTTTTCACAAATATCCTATATGATCGCATTGGCAGCATAGCAGAGGAAGTTATAACTGAATATCAGTGTGGTTTTAGGAAAAACAAGTCAACCACGGATCAGTGCTTCATTTTGAGTCAAATTTTTGAAAAATTTAATGAATTTTCGAGGGATGTACACTGCCTTTTTATTGATTTCAAACAGGCTTTTGATAGCATAAATAGAGAGAAAATTTTTGGAGTGATGCAGAGACTTGGCATACTTGAGAAATTGATAAGGCTTACTTGTATCACTTTGAAGGATACAAGTGCGAAGGTTTTGGTACAAGGAAAGTTAACGGCCCCTTTTCCCATAGAATCCGGTGTAAAACAGGGGGATGCCCTTTCATCACTGATATTCAACCTAATGTTGCATTATGCTCTGAAAGATATTGGTACTGACAAAACAATATTTACCAGGTCAGTACAAATTTGTGCATATGCGGACGATATAGTTATAATTGCCAGGAATGTACGAATACTAAAAGACACATTTCTAAAACTAGAGCGGAATACTAATAATATCGGTCTCAGCATAAACGAACAGAAAACGAAATATTTTGTAAAAGCCAGAAACTTGAGGGGTACGCAAAGTTTAAATATTGGAAATTACAAGTTTGAAAGTGTACCTCAAATTAAGTACTTAGGCGTCATTTTCTCCAGCTCAGATGACTCAACCAGTGCCATTAAAGAAAGAATAAATGCGGCTAATAAATGTTTCTATACTCATTCAAAACTTATACGTTCCAAATTACTGTCAATAAGGAGTAAATTAAGTATATACAGAACATTAATTAAACCAGTACTCACCTATGGTTGTGAATGTTGGACATTAAAAACATCTGATTGCAACTTATTATCTGTATTTGAAAGAAAGATGTTGAGAAAAATTTATGGTCCGGTTAGAAATGAAGATGGAACGTACAGAATTAGAAACAATAACGAGCTGGAGGAATTAATCAAGCACCAAACGGTCATAAGATATATAAAGGCGCAAAGGATAAGATGGCTGGGCCATGTAATCCGAATGCCTGAAGATAGCAAGGCTCAAATAATATTAAATAGAAAAGAATATGGAACTCGAGCTAGAGGCAGACCTAAAATGAGGTGGATTGATTCGGTAGTAGACGACCTGAAAATCATGAATGTCAACAACTACATCACGGCAGCAAAGGATCGGCAAATTTGGAAGAGGATAGTACAGGAAGCTTTGGTCCACATGGGACTGTAATGCAGAGAAAGAAGAAGAAGGCAGATAAGCAAAAACTTCATATAAAACCAAATAATAATAATACATTGAAATGTGAAACTTTTTCTACTGAAGAGATTGATTTTCTGCAAAAAGGTGTAATTGGGAATTTATTAGGATTTAGTCAGAGGGAACTCGAAGCAAATAAATGGCATATATCAGATTTACCTGTTGATATCATTAAAATTAACATTATACGCATTGAATGTAGTATTATACAAGGCACATATATTAACAATAAAGAAGCACATATTCTACACGAATTTTCAGTTGCTGTACCACCCGGGTATAAAATAATCGAAGTCCCGCGAAACCTTATCTATTTACCCGTGGCCGTCAACAGAATCAGTACAATCGTGATAATATTAATTGATTAGATCGGTAATTTGATTAATTTTCAAGGTGAAACTATCCCCTCTATTATGAACATCGGTATCGGCCGATATATTATCGGCAGTTCTAATCGGTTTTAAGTTTCTTCTGTATTATGAACCGATACCGATAAAAATATTTCAACCGATTAAAAGAAGCTTTTTTATACAAATTTTTGTTTTTGTAAATTGGAGAAAAAGTTTTTTTTTTTTCTAATGACATTTGTTTTCTTTCAAAAGTTATTTTCAAAAAATTTTTAAAACTATTTTGAATTTGGCTTTGATGTGCTAAAAAGTTGTTGTAAGCAAATTATTTTCTGTTAAATTTGTAAAATAAAAATATACATATATCGGGAAAATGTCGCGTGCATTATATTTTGAAAGTGAAGAAACGCAAGCTATTCAAAGACGACATATAAGAGATTCAACTAATCCATTGGATTTAGACAACAAAATGTATGTTTAGGTACCTATTTTATTTTATTATTTATATAATATGTACACATTTTTTAGGTTTATCCAGAATTTCAGATTATCATTCCTTGCCAGGTTTAAGTCCTCTTCCATTTTTTCTACTAACCGCGCAATTTGTTTTTTGTTGCTTACGATTTTACTCCTAAATAAAATATATGAATAACATTTTGAAAGAAAATAATTTAGAAAAAATGCTTACATTTTAAAAAAGCAATTAATTACACCAGTTTCCTTGATAAAATGAAGATTTTACAAAAAAAAAAATCTGTCGTCTAAAAATTTGTACCCGCTTTTAAATCGGTGAAAATCCGACAATTTATCGTTTTCATAATACCAGCTAATACGTTTCCTATACAGGAAAAAAAGCTTTCCCGACTCCGATAAAATTTACCGACAAACAATGTTGGTAATACAAACACAAAATTTTGCCGATAAATTATCGTTTATCGGCCGATACCGATATACATAATAGAGGGGTATAACGGCAAGATTACATTTGAAAAAAAAAATATATTATAAACATGATCCTTTATGATAGTAATAGTTATATATCTTCAATTAATAAGACCCATCCATTCAATAGTCAATCCACCTCAACAATGACAGGTTGTAGACGAGTGGGTGAACCGATATTAACAATTGAAAATCAGGAATTTTTAAAATCAATAGGATTAAAGTTAACAATACATTAAAATGGAGAGTTTATTTGGTAATCCAGTTATTGATGAAAGTACAACAAGCGCTCACTGGCATACATATTCACCATTCTTGAGTTCATTTAATAAAAGCGATATTATACGCATACAGATACAAAATCAAAATTTAAACATTTTACCTTTTACCAGTTTACTTTATATTGAAGGCACTATTACAAGAGTTGATGGCAGTGAAGCAACTAAAACAAAACTTATAAATAATGCTATCGCATTTTTATTCGATGAGATACGGTATGAGTTAAATGGGAAAGAAATTGTTAACAATAGAAATGTAGGTATAACATCATGTTTAAAAAATTACATTTCATTAAACAAAAATGAGAGTCAGGCACTTATTAATGGTGGCTGGTCACCTGAACAATCAATTCAACCACAAACTTTATTTTTTAATTATTGTATTCCGTTAAGAAGACTTTCAGGATTTGCGGAGGACAAAAATATTGTGCCGAATGCAAAACATGAACTAATTTTAACACGTTCAAGATCTGATGATAATTCCTTTCTTTGCTCTGATGTCAATGAGAAACCGAAAATTCAACTGATCAAAGTGCAATGGACAGTACAGCACATCAATTTAGCTGATACATTGAAATATCAGTGTATAGCAATATTACAAATAACGCAAAAATAGTACTTGTTTTCAGAAATTGGGAATTGTATGAAAATCCATCGTTACCACAAAATACTAATCATCATATTTGGAATGTAAAAACAACAACTCAATTGGAAAAGCCACGATATATTATTTTTGCTCTACAAACAGATAAAGTTGATCAAGTAACAAAGGACACATCAAAATTTGATCATTGTAATATAACTGATCTAAAAGTTTACCTTAATTCAGAATGCTATCCGTATGAAGATATGAATTTACTATTTGAAAGAAATCATTATAGTATTGCTTATGATGAGTACACAAGGTTTCTAAGTAGTTATTAAAATTACCCTATATCTGAAGCTTTATTAACATTAAAGGAATTTAAAGAAAAAACTATGATTTTGATAATAGATACTCGTTATCAAAATGAAAATTAAAAAATGGGACCGCTTGATGTTCGAATTGAAATGAAAAGTTCAGCTGCAATACCCGATAAAACAACGGCTTACTGTCTTATGCTGCACGATAGATTAGTAGAATTGACATCTTTGACCGGTGAAGTTAATAAAATCGTTTAATGAAGTAAAAAGAAAAAAATGAATTACGTTATAATCGATGTACAAGGCTTTAAAGATAACAATAATAACTTCATATTGAAACAATCCTTTCATCAAATGATGAAATACAGCATTTTATTATAAAACCTCCGTATGGATATCATATACTTACATCTAAAACTAAGAATATAAATAACTGGTTAACAAAAAGGCATCATGAATTTCGATGGTCGGATGGTCAAACGCATTTTTGTGATATCATCAATTTTTTAAAGATTTATATAAATAATAATAATACAATCATATATGTGAAGGGTGAAAAAAAGAAGAATTGGATTAACAAAATTTTAAAGCATAGTGATACATATGATTTGGGGTCCAAATATGATTCAACAAGTTTAAAAAAATTGAAAAATGAGCATATTTATTATTCAAAAAAAAATTTTCTTATAAGCATATTGGTGTTTGTGCTCTTGAAAATGTCTACTTAATAAAACTGTTAACCTAAGCAATTTTACAGTATTTAAGAAATGAGAACGACAAAAATTTATTCATTCAGTTATTTTATTTACGATTTTTAATATCACAAAAACAAAATCAATATGGACAAAATAAAAAATTATTTTTCGAAGAATAATAACAATTATGAAAAATTAGGAAAAACACAAACTGATTATACAAAGAGGTGGAAAGAAGAAATTAAATAAAGTTGGATCAAACCAATGTGAAAATTCTGCTTTTAAATACAGTCTTTATATACCTATCACACAATTATTATTTTCATTCATATACAAAGCTATTTCTAGGGTTGCATATATTTAGGATGAACGATCTATTCAGTTTTTGATATAAAGCAAAATTAAATGCAAAGTGGAGTTAACATAATGCTCGATTTTAAGTGATTATAGTTTTTTTAAAACAATAAAAAATTGTTTTCTTTTTTCTCCCTTATTTTTAAATTTTTTTTTCCTCCACTCATTTTTAGATTTTTAAAAAACAAAAGCCTGTAAAGCATGCAGAAAAAAGAATCTGAAAAGGGCATGCATAAAATAAAATAATAACCTGAAAAAAGAAGCTGAAAATCAAAGTAAAATAATAAGACATTTTTTTAAGATATTTTTACCGACCGTATTGTGTAAACAATAGGTAGGTTATGTGATGGCAACAAATTTTGCATATCGAGTTTTCGGTGGGAACGTACTTCTCCATAGTAGGGAAGTGTAAATAAACTATTTTTAGCAACCTGTCGGTCTGTCGGTCTGTCCGTCTGTCGGTCTGTGTGTGCACGCGTGTATCTCAAGTTCGGCTGAACCGATTTTGATGAAATTTTATATGTAAGTTTTTTTCCACCATGGCACGGATCGATCAACTTTTGGTATATATCAGGCTTCGGGAACTGCACTTTTTAGCGGGCCTGTTTTACATTTTTGAACATTTTGAAGAAAGTATTCAACTGATTTACTTGAAATTTTATATATAAGCTCAGCTCGACCGTCCGCAAAAATTCGTATGTTTTGGAAGAAATTAGGCATCGGCAACTAGACGTTTACTACGGGCCAAATATACATTTTTGTGTATATAAAGAGAAATAATCAACCGATTTCATTGAAATTTAATATATAAATTCCCCGTATTAAAGCAATGAACATGTAAATTTTTTGGAAAGATCAGGCATCGGCAGATAGACGTTTACTACGGGCCAAACATACACTTTTGTGTATATAAAGAGAAATAATCAACCGATTTCATTGAAATTTAATATATGAATTCCTCATATTAAAGCAATGAACATATCACTTTTTTGGAAAGATCAGGGCTCGAGAATAACTTTTTTGGAAAGCTCAGGGCTGATTTGCGGGCCGATTTTACATTTTTCACCATATCCACAGAACAAATTCATGGAATTTCTTGAAATTTGATATTTGAGTTCTGGTTGTTACCCAAACTAACTGGCGAGCATTTCAGGGAATTCGGCTAGCACAAAGCGAAACTCTACTAAGAGCCAAATTTACATTTTTCTAAGTATGTTAACTATAAGCTTACTAATGTCCTAAAAATTGGAAAGAAGTATTTAACAGATATTTTTATAATATTCTGTAACACTTTCATTTAACTAGACAATTCACAATGCGGTCGGTTATGTGCTGACCACATCAGATTTTTTTTATTTAAAATATCAATAGAATACATTTTTGCTCTAAGTCCTACAAATTCTTTAATAATATTACCATCGCATTTATCTTTCATCGAACCGAGAACCTTTTTATTTTTTAAAGGGATATTATAAGTGTTGTTTTCAGGGAAACCAGAAGTATCAATATGTGTGTCTATATCATCTTTTATATCACTATAAACATCTTCAGTTTTTATAGTATATATAAAAGAATCAGTATCTATATAATTAAGTAATATATTATTTTTATATTTAACAAGCATGTAATCATAGTGGAAGTTATACATTTTAGATCACGTGCACCTAAATGTTTCCTATTGCATTCCCAACTGGTAACAATTTTTACGTCTCTTCTTTTATCAATGTTTTCCATTGTTTTACCGTATACAGTATTATTTAATAATTTAAAAAAATTTTTTTCAAAATCGTTTTTAGCGTTTGTTCTGTAGGAATTGTTCATTTCAATATATAACCAACAACTTTTGTCAGACTTTAAGATTCTATGAATTTTTTTCAATATTAATCCGTATTCTAAACAATGTTTTAAATTCTTGTAATGTATTACATAGCGTTCTTTATTATTTAAATGACAGATTAATTTCGAACATTTCATATTACTAATCTTTTTATTTTCTGCACAAAACGGTAAGTCATTTTGTGTATTATGCTTGGATATTCTAAATCTACTTCTAAAATATAACCTTTAGGAGAATTATCTAAAATATTTTCTACTTTAATACTGTTGATACAGTATTAAAGTAGAAATGCATATTTTATCCATACAGTTTTAGCAAATGCATAGTCTTCATCAGAACAAATACTATCAGAAAATTTATTGTTAAAATATTTTTGTTCGGGTAATGCAGTTTCATCTAATATTTCAAATGAAGTTAAATATTCATATGGGAATATCCCTTTTTTTCTAGCTAATTTAAAATAGTCATCAGATATAAACGTTTTTCGTACCGAAATTAGATCATTATCAGTTAAATATGATGATAGAGTATCCAAACTTGAACTCACAAATCTAAACGAATCCAAGAATCTTAATTCGAATGTTTAATTTTGTCCCAACACAATATGTTTACTTAGAGATATATAATTTTCTTTGTTATTGGGTATAATTTGAAGTTTATCTTGATATTTTGAAAGAGTTTTTATAAATAAATGACAATCGTATCCAGAAAAATTATGGAAAAAAATAGGAAAAAAATTAGGAATTTTATAATTTAAATTACAATGACTATGAGCAGGTCCTCGATATTTTCCAGTCAAATGACAATGGTCGGCAATTCTCTTATAATCCAAAAATTTTTTAAAAATATGACAAATTTTCTTTTGTGATTGAATTCTTAATTGTAAATTTGTTAATTGTTCTATTGGCTTAATATTTTTAATATAGTTTAATATATAAATTAGTTGTGTCATCTATTAAGTTACAAATTTATCGATACAATCCAACCCCGTATCCATTCGGAAAATATTGATATCTTCATCAAACGAAGACTTAATGTTATAGGCGTATGAGCATGGAACATGAATTTGTATGTCTTCAGTTGATGATATAATTGGATTTGGTGAGCAACTGCAAATATTCTGCAACACACATTCAAAGTCTGCATATACTACAAATGGTATATCTAGTTGTCTTCCATATTTTTCAAATTTAATTATTTGTCTTTCGTTTGAAGGTAAATTTGTTATTACTTTGTTGCACTCTGGTTTATGTAATAGAAGATCTTGTTCAGTGTGAAAGAATAATAAACAAGTATTACATAAATGAATCATTGACTTATGTTTAGTTAGTTGTGAGCGTACAAGTCAAGATAAATTTTTAATCCAAAAATAATGATGACTATCACCTTCCATTATATACAAAAGATTAATATGATATTTTTTTTCTTCTTTTGAAAAATAATACGGTCCCACTATTTGAAAGAAACAATTTTCTGATTGTGTTTCCATCATTTCATAACCGAATACATTTATACTGATTGTTGGATTTAGTTCCTCGAATTTTTGAATATCGGTAATTTTTAAAGGAAATTTCAATCCACCAAATTGTAGAGTAATATTTCTTAGTACAATTGTACTTGCGCCTATATCCAGAACTCTATATGTTGAAGATTATCTAAATTTGTACTACCACCATTATAAAATTTGGATATTAAAGCCCATTTAAAGCAGTATTTACATGATTACTTACATTTATGCATGCTTTTTTCTTTTGAAGAAATTATGGTAATGGTAAATATGATGAGCCCCTAAGTGATTTATATTGATTGATATTTATTTCTAAATGAACAATTCTTAAAAGCGCCCAACCACTATCACGTTCCTGGAATTCTTCAGTTTTCCGTATGATAATAGCTTTTATAATATTATACGCATCTGAAATTTCTGCATCATTATGAATTGTTATCATTTTTGAATTAAACGATTTTATGCTTAAAATAAAATCATCGTCTGCATTTTCTTCAATATCTTGAAATTTAATACATTCTGCAAACATTTCTATATTAAATTTAAAACAACCATGTTTTTGTAGCGATTGTTTCAATAATTTCATAACTTGGGGCTGTGAAATGTCTAGAAATTCTACACGTTCGCT